TTATAAAATTTATGTGCTTCATAATATTTCATTAAAAAAATCATTTTAAAGAAAATTTTATAGCCTCAAAATTTTTGGATTTTATTACAAATATTTAATTTCATATCGATTCTTTAAACATATCCCCTATTCTCAAAATCGATTTATCGATTCATATGAAAAAAATTATTAATTTTTATTTAAAAAAAAAAAACCTCCCTTAACAACTCGCATACTTCAACATACTTACAATCTAAAATAACAAATATGTAATTGGATAAGTAAGTGATTACTTCTTGATATAACTTTAGTGAAAAAAATGTACTTGTGATGAAAAATAAAAATTGTTTATAAATAATTGAAGTACAAGGTGAAAATTAATTTTACCTTGCATGAATAACAACAAACAAAAAAAAAATTTTTTTTTGCTCTCATTTCATATTATTTGCTTCTTAAATGTTATAATAATGAAGTAAGTGAAAAATAAAATATGAAAAAAGAAAAATTTAATTCAGGTATGGTGAAAAAAAAAATTGTTATTGTTTTGATTGTTTTTTTACCTTTTTTATTGTTTTTTATTGTATCCAAAAAAAATGTAAGAAAATTATTATTTTTTTTTATTAAAAAAAAAAAATAATTTTTTTTTTTATTATTATTATTTTTTTTAATTATTAAATATTCATTCGATTTATTTTCTCAATAAATTTTCGTTAATAATTTCTCTCTCTTTTTTTTTTATATTTTTTCTTCAAAATATTTTATTTATTGTTGTTTAGTCGATATATAAACAGAGACACATGTACACAAATATAAATAACTAAAAAAAAAACCAGTAAAAAAATTAAGTAAATAATTTTAAATAAAAAAATTAATAAAAAAAATTTAACAAAATGAAAAATATTTTTTTTTTACGAAATTTTCACAATTTCTTTTTTGTTTTTCTGTTGTTTCTTTTTTATAAAATACTTAATTCTCTCGCAGGAATTAAAAATTTAAATAAAATATATTTTTATATTATGTATATAATATATATATAATTATATACATATGTATGTATGTATGTATACGTGTACAAAAATATAATTTATCCAACTAAAAAGTCCTATATAAAATATATTTATACACACATATATTTACATATAAATACAAATATATATATATATATATATATATATATATATATATGTATATATATATACTTTTATTTATATTAATATTTTATAATAATTTTACAAGGTTAATATTAAAATCAGAATAATTTTTTTTTCTTTTTTTTTTTTAAATCGTTCCGTTTATTTTTAATAAATTAAATATTTTGTTATTTATTTAATAATTATTTAAAATCAAAAAATGATTTATTTAAGTATATTAAAAAAAAAAAAACAATTTTTTTTTATCACAAAAATATTTAAATTAAAAAAAAACAAAAAAAAAATTCATCCTTACGAATCGTTTTAAAAAAAAATTTTTCTTTTTATATAAAAAAAAAAAAAATAACAACGAATTACCGTCTTATTTACGTACTGGTAACACGAGAAGCAAACTCAAACTGAATTGAAATTTCAAATTTCCTATATTAATTTCTAGTTGAATATAGTTGAAAATGAATTGATTACAGTTGGTTGAAATTGAATATGAATTGAATAAGAGAAGGAGAAAATGAGAATACAAAAAAAAAAAAATTGAAAGAGAATTGAATTGAAAAGAAAAAAAATTTATTATGGTTTTTTTTCTCTTTTAATTTACCAGTGGCGTATCATGTTTTTTTGTTCAAAATTATTGTATCATTGTTTTTTTTTAATTGCATTAGAATAATTAAATTAAATTATGTTTGTATATTATAAAAACTTGTTTTTTTTTAAATTATTCAAAATTTTTTAATTTTTAAAATTGAATGATTATTATATCGTAGATTAAGCGTATAAAGACTATAAGTAAATTTTAATTTTGATGAGCCTTACACATTTTCTATCACATTTTCTCAATTTCAATAGATTCAAACGCAAACTCTTAAATATTTCAAATATACATAATATTTCATATACATATACATAAAATAATTTTTTATCGAAAACTATTCAACACCTAATCTACGATATTATAATTAAGTATGTCTTTATCTAAATAAACGCGTATTACTTATATTTAATGACAAAAAATTTTTAAATTTATGTTATTTAATATATAAATTACATCGTATCCGTAATACTCAATGTTCTATATTCTAATTCTATATTATTTTAAGAATAAATAGGAAAAATATAGAAGTTTTGCAGGATTTTATTGGTTACAATAAAATCAATACATATTAACAATAAAATTCTTTAATGTCAGACTTAAATCATGACATACGCCAAGTAAATTGTAATTGTAAAACACTTGTACTGCATTCATTAACAAATCAAACACCTACAACGAAATTGGTTTTGAGTTGAGGCAAAAAAAAAAGTAAAAAGTTTCTAATTTTCATAAAAAGTAATTTTAGTAAATTCTTAAAATGAACTTCTTAAAGGAAACAAAAAAACAAGTTCCAAAATCATTTCTAAGTTTACAAAATCATTTTTATACCGTTACTCATTCCTTTCGTATTGAGTTATTAAAGAAAAAATAATAAAATTCTTTTCCTTGTTAATAAAATTCATTTAATTTTTTTTATTTTTTTTGTTCTTTTAATATTATTTTTGGGCTTGGTTACCACTTGATTTTAGTAACTCTATATATATATATATGACTCGTATATGTATGTGCAAATAACTGGATACATAATATTATAGTTTTCATTTCATTCATGTACATTTTGGAATTGAAATTGTATAAATAAGAAAAATTAAGAAAATAAATTAAATGAAAATTTTTAATGTGTTGAAAAATTGGTGTACGTACATAAATACAAACAAATGTAAATACAATAAACTATGTACTCATATATTTTATAGGTATATTTTCTTAATGTCGACTTACATTATAAATAATATTCTTCATAATTTTAATAAAAATAAGGGTGTGTTTGGTTAATAGAAATAAAAATTTATTAACTTTCTCAATTATTAAACTTATACTTAGTACTTACTTACTTAAAAACGAAGCTATAGTTAAAAGTTTGTAGGTTATTTGTTTATAATTATAGATAATAAGTTTATTATAACAGTAATATAATAGTTTTGTTATTTAATTTTAAATGCATTTTAATATTTTTTTAATAAAATAATTGGAAAATTTTACAAAAATGTTGCAATTATTTTGTAATTAAAAAAAATTTATTTTCAAATTTGAAAGAATGCATAACTTCAAATTTTTGGGTTAAATCATTTCCAATTTGGTTTATTTGTTATGTACATAAATACATAAATATATCCAGTATAACAATTTAATTAATATATGTACACATTTGTATACACAACAATATTACCAAAAAATTAACAAAATTTTGTATAATTTGACAAAAGTACTCAACAGATTTTTAAAGCAATCAAAGTTTGTATTTTTTTTTTTTTGCAAAACAAACATTTAAGCTACATGCTATTTTTACAAGCACGCATCACGTAAATTGTAATTGTAAAACACTTGTACTGCATTCATTAGCAAATCAAGTCGTACTTAATATCAATATTAATCATACACAAGGTAAAATTTTAGTGATCGGCTCATCCATACCATAATCAGAATAATGAAAACAAACATTATACAACTCAACTGGCGTAAAATTCCTTACATTTATCTCTAACCGAAAATATATACATAAATGTATATATATATATACGTAATACATATATATACATAAGAGTATAAGATTAATCTTAAAACTTCTTAATATTAGATAACACTCTCTCTTTCACTACTTTCTACATATTACAATATTCGCCAATATTCTCTAACATCCATCGTTTGAAAACATAAGACTATTTGTTCAGAAAGTTTCCAAATCCTCAAATTTGAAATTCTATAGTGATAATCTTAATTAAGTAAGTGGTAATATGAAGGTACTTTAGCGATTTCAAAACTCTCACTATAGTCAGAAATCAACTTCAAAAACAAATCATATTTTAAAAATATAATATTTAACATATCAAAATTAATTTTCAAATTTAATTAAAATTAATTAAAAATATTAAATTTAATAAAAATTTAATAAACAAAACTTTAAAAAGAATCAAAAAAAAAAAAATATCAAATTCTAAACAACAAAAAATTTTATTAAGAATATGCGGTCATTCATTTTTCAATAAATAAATGTAGGTATGTATATATAAAAAGCTTTCTATACATACATACATATAGTTGTTACTATATGTATGTATGTAAAGTATATAAAAGCAGAATGATGTCATACAATTATTGTAAGAGAATATTGTATTATATGTGCATAATATATGTATATATAGGTAGGTAAATATATTTGATATGTTATAATTGTAATAAGATATTTGGGAAGATGTTTGACATACCTTCACATGTATGTATATATAATTAAACGCATTTATTTCAGTTTAAATTTAAAATGTTATCCTAACCAAAGATAATTTAGTTGGGCGGCTACATAATGTACCTAGATATTGGTAAAATATGTAAAATTAGAACAAAATATTTGAAGGTTTATTGAACAAGACACTCTATATCTACATACATAGATGTACGTACATAAACCTTAGTATCAAATTTTTCAAAAAAAAAAAGAAAATTCTAATCAGAAAATTGTTTACATCTGAATATTATTCTAAAATATTTAATTACGTAGGTAAACGTTGTTCTTAATTTCCCATTAAGAAAATATAAAAGAAGCAACACTAAGCCATGTCAAGCGAGTGCTATAAAACAAAAAACACTAAATGATAATTAAGAATTTTTTTTTACTAAGTGGTACACTCATGGTTATGTGATTTAAATAACACACTTAGTACTCATAAGTAAGTAGATTCTACTTGCAGTTAAATTATCTATAGTTATTCAGGTAAGTATACAAAAATTTGAATATATATATATGTATATGTATGTATGTATGAAAGTAGGTACTATCTGCTTACCTTCTTCTATTGTTGTGAAAGTAATTTGAAAATATTTAATCCTTATTATCGGGCGTACTTTCTAAATTTAGTCACTTGATTTTAATTAATTAATATTTAATTAAAATATTAAATTTAACAGGAAATTCTGTTATTTATATTTTAATAAAAAAAAAAAAATGTTTGTACTACACTCGTTAAAAAGGTTTTTTTTCTGTGTATTTGTTGTTTTTCGTTTTAACTAAAGCCAAAAAAATTTTTTTTGTCGTGTTCCAATAAGCAAACAACAAGAGAAAATTTATGCTTTTTTTTTTTCTTCTTAATTTTTTTTTTCTTTTATGGTTAATTTCTTTAATGAAACCGAAATATAATTTTTTATTTTTATAATTTATGTTTTATCAAAAACAAAAATTTTATTAAAAATTTTAACACAATTTCAATTAAATTTTAAAAGTAAATTATTTTTCGCTTTTAAAAAATGTATTTTTTTTTTTTTCTAATTTATACCAAAAATATATTTTTAAGGTAAATATACATACGCTACACCAATAAACTAACCAAACATTACGTCATTGTCAAGAGGAAAATACAAAAAAAAAAAAAAAGTTTTTCCAAATAAATTTTGTAAAGATATCTTTCTCTTTCTAATCTTATAAATTATAAATTTGACATTTGGAAGTTTTCTAATTTGTATGAGTGAAATAAAAAGAAGTAGTTTAATTTCTTTGGAATAAGGGTTGTACATAAAAGGTGGGAAATATTATTTTTTTAATGTTTGAAAAACTGTGGTATTTATTTTCTCTTGAATCTTGAATATTTTGACTCATTAGTCAAACTCTCTTATGTTTACACGATGACTTTTGTATTAATAGTTGACATTCGGGTTGACGGTCACTTTGCACAAAAATATCATTCGGTCCATTCGAAATAAATACAACCCATAAGTTAAACAAAACTTGAAATTCAGGGTCTTATCGCACTAATAACTTTTTTCTAAGTAACTTCTCAAAAAATATTTTTTTTAATAATTTTAATAAAACAAAGTTGATAGTAGCTCTCGTATAAGCGTTTTGGGATAGCACTTCTTAAGGTTAGAACTGCAAATGAATTTATTTAAATATAGAGCTTTTAAAGCTTTGCAGTTTTAACGTAATAAACTACGTTTTTAAAAATAACCTAGGTACCAATATAAACAAAATTTTTTCTTTTGTATTCCCTTTTTCAATTTTAGATCTGCTCAATTCCCAAAAACTTCTGTCTTAAACATACATACATATGTAAGTTTTCTTAGATTTTAATATGTACATAAAATGAAAATTTAAATCAAAATAAAATTCTACTTTCTACAGCTTCAACTTTATTATATTCAATTACATCTTATAAAGAATCATAAATTTATTTTAATCTTAAATTTTTTGAAATTTTTTTTTTTTTTCAAAAAATTGGCTGTAGTAGCTTAAATCAAAGAAATAATATGAAATTAAAAACTTCCAGTTAAATATAATTTTGTTTAATAAATAAAAGGCAAAACACCAAAAACGCGCTTGTCATAAAATTGAGCAGCTTTTTTAGTATGAGAAGTCAGTATTTAATCCTTCAATTCTGTAGTAATATTACACCGTAAATTCATTCACAAAATCTTTGAATATGCGCAACTTTATAAATACAAAAATTATGACCATCAAGATCAAAAAAATGTAACCTTGCTGTAAATTAAATAAATTGGAATCCATAATAAGAAAAAGAAAAAATACTGCATCCCACTATGTCAATTGAATTTTGTCCATCATTTATTGAATAGCCTTGTGTGTTCAACCTTTAATTTTTTTTTTCTTTCAAAAAGATTAAGAATAACTCTAAATTTGATTCTTTGCCATTATTTTTATCACGAACAATACACACAATAACGGTAATTATTTGTAATATATTTTTGAAAAATTATAAGAAATAAACGAAATTTAAATTATGACATCTGATCTACTAAATGGTAACTTTGTTCTATATATTCAATATCTTTTGGATTATTATTCCTTTTTTTCATATATTTAACGAATTCCAACAATAGTTCTCGATCATCATTTGATAAGAACAGAACTTTAATGAAGAATTGTTCAGTGTTGACTAATTCCTTTAATATTTCAATAATTTCCAAATTATCTTTTAGATAATAATCATGTATAATTTTATATATTTCGATTAATGTTTCAAGTTCCACACCAGCACCTAAAATATTACTGAGATTACCAACGGGTATCATTTTCAAATAAGTATAACGCTGTTCTGAATCTAATTCTTTCCATGTGGCATGAAATTGGTTTGGGGAAGTTGGTACAGTTAAATTGATTTTTTTATTTTTTAGTTTATCGATAGAATTTTGTGAGTTGATTTTTGTATCGGTATTATCTGAAATTAATTTCTTGCTTCTGGGTGATATTTTTTCAGTTATTTCGTTTTCTGTCTCAGTTTTTACTGTAGTTTCCTTATTAATGGACGTTTTGTTTTCATTTGAATTCGATTTATTTTTGTTATTGTCTGCATTTATGTCATGTATGGATGCTTTATCCTGCATTTTATTATTTTTCTTTATTTCTTCATATGCTCCAATATTATTATTAGTAAATAACTTATCTATTACATCATCAGATATAAACATTTGCATTGGCTTACCATTAATAACTTCTCGAATTTTGACTTTTTTCATTAATTTTTTTGATCTTAAATGTGGAGGCTTATTGAACATTTCAATCTCTTCTACATTTTCTGAAACTTTTGTAAAAGTTGGATTCTTTCCTTTATCCATTTCCACTTTTTTAATGCGATTTAAGATTCTTTGGTGACTAAGTTTTGCTTCACTATTTTTTGGATCTAAATTCAAAACATTTTGGCAATCTTTCAATGCATCTTCATTTTCACCTAAAAACTCATATGCCTGCATACGACGATAATACGCTTTAATATTTGTTTTATTCAAATGAATTGCCTGATCACAATCCTTAATACATTCTTTATATTTTTCTAACCTTAAATAACAAAGAGCACGGTTTGTAAAATAAATGGGTTCTTTGTCAAAATGCTGAATTGCGGCAGTATAAAAATATAAAGCCTCATCATACTTTCCTACTTTGACTAAGTTGTTTCCCTCCTCCTTGCATAAATCACCTTCATTTTGCTTAGACAAATTTACACCAGATGATTTCTTATTCAATTCATTTGTGTTAAATTTTCCATTATTCTTATGCGCTGGTTCGGCTGCTAATTTTTTTATGTTCGATGCATTTGTGTCTGCATTATTTTGAATTTCACTTCTAACAGGTGGAATCTGTACATCTTCACTTTGACCACCCTTTAATCTAGCTTTTTCTTTTTCTTTCATCTCCTCTTGCCAATTATAAAGATCTTGTAAGGAAGCTCTAGTTTCCTCACTTTGAGCTTTGACTTCATATTGTGCTTTAATATGAGAATCCATTATTAGTTTGATTTTTTAATCCAAACCAATTTTTTCTTTTTTTTTCTTTTTTTATTCAAAAAATTGTTTTAGATAAATTTCTTTTTTGTAAAACTTATTTAAAGAGTTTTCGAGAATTTCGAGCAAACAATACTATGGAAATAAAAATAAATGTCAGAATTTGACATACAAAACAACATAACCAAAATATTCACAATATGCAATTCACAATTTCCATATAAAGCTTATAGTGACATTTGTAATCTGTCGGCTGATTTTTGATTATAAAATAATAATTAATATATTTTACACCAGGAGTTTAATTGTCCGTTTTACGCGTTCAGCCACAACTTTTGAAGAATTATTTTCCTGCTCAACACAAACCAGATTTGATTCACACAAAAAAAACAAAACATTTGATTCAAAAATATGCAACAATACAAATATGTACATCCAGTAATATTAATATTTTATGTATAAAATTTCTTTGTCAAATGCAATTTAATTTTATTTTTAAGCAATACGCCCACGACTTTTTTATATACTGTTTCCACTGTAATTTTAATTTTTTTTATTTTTCAACACATTAATTATTTTAATTTTGGTTATTTATTTGGAAATATATATAAAGGAAAAAAGTGCCTATATAGAAATATATACAAATTAGTTTCATACACAAAAATTTTTCAATTACACTAATTGAAAAACGTTGAAACTTGTTGATGGAAATTAATTCACGAGCAAAAATTAAAAAATAACTTTCTTAAACTCCAATAAATAGGCCTCGAGAATAGTTTTCAAATAATTTTATATACACTTAATTAAATAACTTATTAAAAATAAAACTCCGTCTCTTAAAAAGAATACATATAATTTAATTAAAACATTTTCTAAAAATTACCTCGTTTTTTAGACAGCCCTAAATTCGAAACCATGAAAATGACAGAACATAATAATTTGTCATATTTTTGATTTATATAATATTATCATAAATAGATTTAAAATGTTAATATTCAAGTTAAAAGTTATTTCCAAGTTTCAAAGCTGACGTAACTTAATCACGTTCATAAAAACACAACTTTTGTTTCGAATTGATTTCAAGTCAAGTAAAGTCTTAGCTTAAACGAATTATATGAACTATGAAATATTTGTTTAATATCTAAAACTTACAAAAATCAAATACAGAAGCGCTAAAATCGAACAAATACCAATTAAATAGATATCCGAACAATACCAAGTTTAAATAAATTATTAAAAAAAAAAAAAACAAAAAGAAAAAGTAATTCTTCAAGTTGTCAAGCCTGCCCATAATTGTGAATTTTTTTTCCATCATGGACGCATCTTTCTAAAAAAAAATTATTCATATATTAAATCGGTTTTATTACTGTGAAAATTTATTTAGAAGTGCATAAAAAATATAAAATTTACAAATATAGATAAAGTATTATTAGAGGCCAATAAATAATGTAAGAAATTTACTAAAAATATTCAATTATTTTCAAAAGTTAAAAAAAAGTAGTATTGAGTTTTTTTTTTTTTCGTACATTCTTCCAAATAACTTAAAAAAGTAAAACGAGAACAACATAAAAAAAAAGAAAAAAAAAAAGAAAAAGTGTTGGCATCGACATTTTGCTACGTTTTTGGTTTTGAGTGTTTTTTTAAAAAAAAGAAAATTTTTTTTAATTTTTTCAATTAATTTGTCTTGCTAATTACATAAAAATAAAGAAAAGTAAATACCGAGACAGAAATAATTTTTTAATTTAATTAAATTATAAAAATTCCATAAAAAAAAAAATTAAAATTTATTTTCTCATTTACATAAGAGAAAATAAGTATACCTACATTTTTTTTTCTATTATTAAGAAATTTTTTTTTTATACCATAATCTTAAATATATTTAAGAAAAAAATATATTTTTAATAAGTATTAATGTAGTAGATAAATTTCATTAATCATTTTATAACAACAATATAATTTATACTTATAGCCATTATATAGTGTAGATACATATATTTATATGTATGTATGTATATATATATTTCTATAGAATATACATATATTAAAACAACAATAACAACAAAAAAATCTTTTATTATTATTATTATTATTATTATACACACATTCTAGATTATAATATTTTACATAAAATATATATATATATATATATATATGAAATAATATATGTATATATAAAAAAATTATAACTATACAAATATAAATAAATATTTATAATATATATGTGTATAATATATATATGTAAACAATATTATAAAAAAATAAATATACTATATATAAAAAAATAAAATAAAAAAGTGGGTCGGTAATTGTTCTTATATTTTTTTCTAGTACTGAAAATAATTATTAAAAAAAAAAAAAAATTTATTATATCAATTGGATACTCTCCTCACTCTCTCTGTATTTTATAATATACAAAATTAAAAATATTATGTGTGCATCAGTTTATATTGATAAACAATTTGTATTTGTTGAAGAACGTGAAACAAAAAGAAATCCAAATAAATATCAAATAAAATCAAAAAAATCAATAAAACTTGATTATAATAATATGATGGCAAATGTATCATCATCGTCATCATTATCATCTGCATCATCATCATCGATAATAACAACAACAGCAACAACACAATCATCATCGTCATCATTAATACCATCATCATCATCTTCTTCAGGTATTTGTGGAGGTGGAAATACAAATAATATAATTTCTTCAAATAATAATAATAATAATAATATAAGTAATACAAATAATATGCATAATTTCAATAATTGTGCTACTAATAATCAACAACAACAACAACAACATCAAACTGGTGATGAAAGAAATAATTTATTGTCAAATTCAATGGTAACAGCAACTGTAACATCATCATCATCAGCAACAACAACAACAACATCATGCAATAATAACAATTATGAACAACAATGCCGTGTGCTAGAAGGTATCTAAAACAAAAAAAAAAAACAAAAAACAAAAAAAAAATTCAAAAAAACAATTAAAATATTTTTTTTTTTTTTTACAATTATTAAAAAAACAAATTAGAAATGAAAAAACAAAAACAATATTTTTTTTTTTCTTTTTCAATTACATATCACCTACTTATATACTCTTTTTACTTTTTGAAATTATATTACAAATAAATAAAATAAATAAATATTTTTAATATAATATATTTACTTATGCCTACCTTACATACTGTATAAATTTTATAAATATAAACAGTACGTACTTTTTGTTTTGGTACAAAAATTCAAAATCAAACTTAACATTTATTTTTTTTTATGTATAAATTCATTTCCCCCAACAATAGATACGTTATGTATATCCGCTAAAATATACAATAATGATATACATATACATAATAATTTGAGTAATATGTATATATATATATATAAATAAAATTTTTTAGTTTATACAATTAAATAAATAAACAAAAATTTTTTAATTATACCATATAGAAAATAAAAAAAGAAAAAAATAATAGTTATGAAAAGAGTTAAAACAATGTTGATTACATTTACAGTCAATATTCAAATATTTTGAATGTTTTTTTTTTTTTGAAATTGTTTTTAATTAAAAATAAAAATTAATATAATTATTGTATAATTTTATTATACAATATACGGGCAATATACTCTTAAATACTATTTACTATTTAATAAATTTAATAAGAAAAAACATAAAAAGTTTTTTTTTTTTAACATAAAATTTAAATTTTATTTGGTTTCATCTTTTTTCTTTAAAAAAAACATTTTTTATTAACTTAAGAAACATGCAGTAGTTTTTTAATATTGAAAATACAAAATGAAAATAATTAAATAAACAAAAATACAAGAGTATTTAAAAAAAAAACATATAAAAATAGAAAACAATATTTTGATTTGACTATAATTAATACGTGATTATAAAATAATATCAACATAATTAAACTATTCTCTTTTTGTATATATATAAATTGCACATATATATATATATATATATATCGTATATATATTTACGATTTTAAAAAATTTACGATCACAAGAACGCGCGGAACTTGTTTATTTGCGGGAGTTTTTTTTTTTTTTTTTTGACTCTCATTCTTTCAGTAATCGAGAGAAAAGAGTGAGAGAAAAAAAAGAAGTTTTATTAACTTATGCTGATATTTCTTTTTAAAAAAAAAAAATTTGAGACTAGGATTAAATTTAATTAATTTTATTTTTATAACATTTATTATAAATAAGAAAAGTGTATTTATAGATTTTTAATATTTAAATAAAATAATAAACTTCATTCTCAATTATTATGAAGTTTTTTTTAATTAATTATTATGAATTCAAATATTTATTTCATAAATTTTTTTTTTTTGTTTTTATAGTATTTTATTGTATTTATTAATTAATAATCATAGTAGATTATGAAATACTAATTTCAATATAAAAATTTTCTAAATATTCAAAGTTTCTTTTTTAAATTGCCAAGTGTGATTTTTTTAATAATTAGATTTTCATTTTTCACTATATTATAAAAAATATGAATTTTATATTCAAAGAATATAAATTTTATTAATTTAAAAAAAAAGAACTATATTAAATTAAAAAAAAAGAGAAATTATAAAAATGAAAATTATTCTTAAAAGTTAGAGAAGGAACAATTTAAGAATAAAATTACAAATTAAAATGAAAATAAAATAAAAATAAATAATTAAATTCAAGTTTATTAAATTCGTTTAATAAATTAATTAAAATATAAAATATTTTAAGAACAGTGCTTTTATTGCAATTTGTAGTTTAAAAAATAAAGAAAAAAATAAAAGTGTTTTAAAAATTGTGTAAAAATAATAAACAATTTTTTGAAAGCAGTTTTTAAATTCCATTAAAAAAAATAAAAACATTATTAAAAAATAAAATATTTATTTTAGCATTTATTAAAATAATAATTGAAATAAAACGAAATATATAATAATATAAACAATTTCGTTCTATAAAAAGAATGTGATTTTAAATTTAAAAAAAAAAAAAATAAGAAAATTTTTTGGAAATTTCTTTAGAGAAATTAAAAAATTTCTTTTGTTATTTAGTTTCCTTTTAAGAACAATCAATATTTTTTTTGAAAAATTGTATTTGTGGAATAAAGTGTGTTCACTATATATATTTTTAATTTAATTTTATTTTAAATAATACAAAAAAAAAAATCTTAAAAATTAAAAAAGAAAAGTTGAAAATCGTAATGTGAAGAGAAAAAATATCAGAAGAGAAAACAAAAACCATTTATGCTAAGTTTTTCTAAATAATTTTTTTTTTTATTCATTTTCATAATTTTTTTGTTTTTTGTTAATAAAATTTTCATAATTCATTTAATAATTAAGTTACTTTTACAAAAATATTATTAAGTACATACCTACATATATAAAATTAAGGTGAATTGAATTCAATGTGATTTTCAAAAATTATTGCTTTAAATTTAAAATTTGATGTGGTCACCACATAATCGATCGCATTATTGAGACAATGCATAAGACTATGTAAATTTCCTTCAAATATTTAGTTCAAATTCCATGAAATATAGAAAATTGATTTTTTTAATTATTGTACCTACTTCGAAAAATGTTAAAATGGTTTTAAATAGAGGATCATTTTGATCGTATCCCGAATTTTCGTGTAAAGTTTCTTAATGTTAATTTCGTGTAACAAGACGAACTCAGTCGATTTCAGTGTAACAATATGAAAGGAAAATAAACGAAGACTTGACCAATTTATATAAAAGATTGAATATAAATTAAAATTTATCTAATATAAAGCCATTGCACAAAAATAATTTAAAATTAAATTTAATTATTGTGGATATGGTCAAATATGTAAAATCGGTCATTTGTTTAAATTCTGTAACTTCAACTTCTGATATTCTCGAAAAATTTTCGAGTTCATTTATTTTAATAAGCAAATTTTGAATTTGCATTTTCAAATGAATTTGTTTGATTATTTTTTCTCTGTGTATGAGGAGAAAAAAAAATATAAATTCGAACCGTGGTAAAAGTTCACCTGATTTCATCTAAAATTTAGGTGACTTATGAAAACTCGACTTGTGAAATTTGATATCATCACATTACCTCCCTTGTTGTATGCAATAGTGTGGGTAAAAAAATATTCAAACAGATGTTTATTTGTTAAATTTAATTTTAGAATACAAACATGAATACAAAAATCAATAAAAATCGAATGACATTCAATTTGAGGACGTCTTCAAATCATAAATAGGATTTTGTTAACATTTCATAAATTAATATCCAAGAAAATGAGAAGTACATTTACTTTGCTTTCCGGCTATAATTTTGTCATCTGATTCATCTGTGTTAATCTCAGGGCTCTCTAATGGAGTTCAGTATATTCTCTATAATGATGTTATGCATATTCTCTCTATTAAATTTAATTATATATTTTTAATAAGCCGATGAATATCCAAGTAAAATTTTATTGGGTCAATAATTTTCAATTGAATTCCAAGTTATACTCGATTCTACAACCATAAATTCAAAATACCTATTGCAGATACCAAAAAAATAATTTTTTTTAACGAAATAACTCTTATTCACAATATTTACAAGTATTTAACATATAAAACACGTGGATATTTTGGACACATCATCATCATCATTATGTTTATATTTAAAAAGACTCATTGAAAAAATTCCGAAATAAAAACTCTCTAGAAACAAAATTTGAAATAAAATGATGAAGTTCAATGACATTAAATATTTTTTTTTCTCTGTTTTTTTTTGCCTTCATATTACTTTGCACATTAGGCTTTTTTTTTTCTTATTTAGACTTTTGTATTCTTACATACTTACTAGTAGATACTTATATATAAAATATACTTATACGTACGTAATATCGCAATATAATTTTTTAAAGCGTTTATTTTTAGGATTTTCTAAAAATGACTTTTTTTTGAAAATTAAAGTATTTTTAAAATGAAATTTTAATTTTAATTATTTCTATATAATAGAAGTATACTTAATTAAATAAATCACCTATTTGAAATTAAAATTTCGATATAAAAAATTTAATTAATATGTACATTTAATTAGCAACTAAGAAATATTAATTAAAATAATTCAAATTCTAAGTAAAGGTAAATTAGAGGCAATTGTTTCTTTTAAATAGCGTTTACAAATCGAGCAAAACTGACAACAATTTTGAATTAGGGTTTACAAATCAAATTTGGTTTGATAAAAATTTACTGTCACCTTAGAGGTTTTTTACTCAAAATATTACATTTGCAATATATCGAAAATTTTAGTTTTTACGATTTTTACCAAAAAATTTGGATAGGAAATGGGACAGGACTCTATTTTCTTCTTACGATTTAATGTTATTGATTTGATAGAAAATAACGGGATTAAAGCTCGAGAAATGGATGGAACGCCATCTAATTCTAGTGAAGCAAACCCATGGGTATAGTCTCAAATTCAATTCCATCCAAATTTTTTAGGGCACTGTGAGTAGATAGAATTTCCATTTTTTTCTTTTGAAATAGATAATGAAAAACATAAATTTTTAAAATATATTTAGGAGATTAGACCTAATAAGACTGGTTTGGAAAAAATTTAATTTTTTACGATCTTCATCGCGTGAGGAATTTTATAACAATATGTATTATGGAAAGTATGTATTATAATAGCATGAGAAATTTATTAATTTTATGTTTCTCGTTTTAAGAGTAATTTTATATTTCAAATTACTCTTAAAACGAGAAATATATAAAATTAAATATAAAATATTCGGATTTGTTTCTAACTGAAATTCTTTTACTCTGAACTTCATTACTATTTAAATAAATAATACTTGAACTTTAATTAACATATTTATTTATATATGAATTATTTTATAACTTATACCCATTTCGATCCTGTTCGATGCGATTCGATCCAATTCGATCTAGAATTATCACAGTATTTGTACT